GCGCCTGGCAACCTCCGCGGAAGCTTCCGGATTAATATTCTGTTCTGTCTCATTTCGGCTAGGACTAAAGATATCCTTCCTTATCGAGTACTATACGCATGGAAATTTTCGACCGCTCGGATCGCCCGGCCGTTGCTGTCTACTGGAACCTTCAACCCCTGGTATAATATTCGACGTCCTCGTTCTGACTGGTTATTCCTGGACAGTTTTCGGAATTTTCTTGGATCATTCGCTTCATTCCAAGTCTCTACTAAAGCATTTCGACTGGTATTCATATCGGTGGAATATTCTTATACTAGTGCTAGACTTATCAATTTTTTTATCGATTATAGTAGTGTGCCTACTTATTGATTTATCGGAAGCGAGTACCATCGTGGCAAGGTACACTATAAGAAGAGCAGTGCCACCGGATCAGGTGTATTGATTCTTTGGTTCTTTCTTAACGGAATTACCTATTTTTTTCGACTGTTTCTTTCGTTTTCGAAGTTGCCTGCGTTGCTTCTTGTGGCGTGAAGCAGTTAACTCCATATCTTATTTGTCTACAGCCACCAGCTTAGGTGTTTTGCCTCTCATACCAGATGATTAGCGAAACCCCGGTCTACCCAGTGCATATTCAGGAGGGCATCAAGAGGAAGAGAAGACTCGATTTCGACTTCCCCCACATCGCCGGACTTTTTGAAGGCAGCTGAGGAGCTCACGAAAGACCAATCCATACCGCTGCATGTTCGTACCGTCCTGGCTTTTTTGGTGGATTGCAGGACTAAGCAGGACTCCATGGCCAATGAAATCAAATTGTTGAAAGAAGAAAACAGTGCTCTCCGAAAATGTCTCGAAGACTCTAGGTTGTCATCCTCTCATAGACAGAACTCCTCTCAGGTCTCTTCTCTCGTTGAAAGGTCTCATCTTAAGGTTGATTCTGAGTTGTCATTTGAAGAAGCCGAGCGCAGAAGATCTATTGTAATCATAGGTGTACAAAGATGTCGAGATACAGTAGAACATGATACCCTGTGTGTGCGTCAACTGTTAAATTATCTCTCAATTGATTGTGCGCCCATCGCTACGTATAGAATGGGACGTCCCAGTATGAGGTATAACAGACTTCTCAAGGTTGTTCTACCCATCTCCTTTCTCTAGGCTTGTTTTGCGACGGATACCTCAATTACACTTCCCGCTCAAGAAA